ATACGGTGAAGGGGAAGGTGGCCGGGACCTGAGGACAGGTGTGGGGCCTGCCTCAGCTAGAAAGTGCTCTGTACTTCTGTCCAGGCCCTCCTCCAGGAACACACCCCTGAGTCGGCCTCTCCCATTTCCCCCCAGAACCTCCTCTGCCTCCGCAGCCACCTTGCCCGGGAGCTGTACCAATACAGGCCAGAGGGAGCCCCAGAGACATTCCTGTGGTCGCCCCCAGGTACAGGTCAGCTGCCACAGCCCAGGGGGCCTCCGATCTGAGCCTCCTGGGGTGCAGTCACTGCTCTGGTTGAGTGGCTGCCCTATTCGCTCTGGTTCCGCACCCTAGGAAGCAGAACAGAGGCGTTCCCTCTTCCCTTAAAATGGAGAGGGAGGCCAGGGGGACTTTGTTGGGGCTGGTAGTGGAGGTGGGGGAGACTGGGCTCTTTTCTGGGGGCTGCTCTGTGCCTCAGACAGCCAGGTGAACAACCAGTCCTCCTCATGCGACTTAATACCTCAGGTCAGGGGTCACTGACGCCCACCCAGATCCTGCCCAGGCCCCAGGCCCCCACCAAACTCTTCCTTCTCATGGCCCACAGTCTGCATGAGGTTAACCTCAGGCCTCTTCCTGGTCATCTCTGATTCACTTTCCTGCCTCTGGCCGGATAATGGTTTGGGGTTTGGCTGGACCCTACTGCCTGCATACCCCCAAGCCAAGTTCCTGACCCTGCCTGCTGCTGGGCACCCACTGTCTCCCAGGAGACCTTCCTCCCCTGTCTCCTGCCTGTCCCCGCCTTCCAGCCAGGAAACCTCATGGGCAAACTATCTTAGTCCTCACCCTGCGGGGCGCTTCTACTTGGCCATGCTCCGCTGAGAACAGCCAAGCCCTGGCAGCATCCAGGTTCCCAGTGCCTGTCCCGAGGGGAGCTATGTCTGGCCAGGACAGCGTGGGACCAGCCGGCAGGGGGTCACACTACCCCAGCTCCTTTGTTGGGAGGCAGCCTTTTGGACGCTACTTTTGGGTTTGTCCCCTCACTGGAATGCCAGGCCTGGTATACCTGGCTTATATTCTGAAACTAGTTCTACAGCTCAGTCCAAGTTCCCATGACCAGGCAGTCCGAGATCCCGGCCAATGACCCAAGTCCTCTCACTCGGAATCTGATTCCACAGACACGCAGCTTCCCAAAACAGCTCCGCAGCTTCTGAAGTCCAGGACAGGCCTTGGGAGTCTCTGACCTTTCCGGATGCCTCCTGCAGTTTCTAGAAATGCAGACGTGGGGCTATGCTTTCTGCTTGTTTTCTGCCCGGGTTTCTTTAAAAGACTTGGGGACACATTCCACCCACACCCAAGAACAGTAGGGTTTCACTTGGCCCCGTCACTGTCAGAAGCTCAGGAGGTCTTTCTGCCGAAACCCCTTCTCTGCTTGACAAAGGACTTACAACTCCTAGATGCACAGTCCACTGGCTAATACCAGTGAGACTAGCAGAAAAGGCCACTCATTAAATAAATCAGGTCAGAATTTACATGAAGCTCTGCCTTTGTTCATGCACTCAGGAGTAACCTGTAGACACATTTACTGAACTACCTCCTGTGTGTAGAGACTCTTATACTGGTGTGCAGGAGGGAGACCGCATAGTTTCTGCTATAGTTCATAGCTGGGTGGGCCAGAGAGACATCTATAGAAGCCCAGGGAAGGAAGGAAGGAAGGAAGGAAGGAAGGAAGGAAGGAAGGAAGGAAGGAAGGAAGGAAGGAAGGAAGGAAGGAAGAAAGCTTAAGGGGCCTCAAGATGGAAACAGGCTAGGAAGCTTCTTGGAAGAGGTGACTTTTGAGTTGGGCTTTGAAAGATAAAATATGAACACTTCAAAAATAATTTCCCCCTCTGAGGCACTTTTGATAGAAAGGAAAGAACTAGCTTCAGGGAAATGACAGGATAGTAATGGAGCTTAAAGGCACAGGAATGAAGAACCTACATATACAGCCAGGAGAAAATTATTTGGTGACTTTCCTGGCCCTATAACCTTGGCCCCTGTTGGGGGAGCATTCTTCACCCAATGGACTACAAAGATTCTCTCCTTCCTTCCTTCCTTCCTTCCTTCCTTCCTTCCTTCCTTCCTTCCCTCCCTCCCTCCTTAATTCCTCCCTCCCTCCCGTCCCTCTCCCTCCTTCCCTTCTTCCCTTCCTCCCTCCCTCCCTTCCTTCCTGCCTTCCTTCCTGCCTTTCTTCTTGCCTTCCTTCCTGCCTTCCTGCCTTCATTCCTGCTTTTGGGTCATACCCAGCAGTGCCCTGGATGCCACCCCATTCTGGGCTCAGTGATCACTCTTGACAATGCTCTGGGGACCATGCAGGGCCAGGTATTGAATCCAGATTCTCCCACAAACAAAGCATGTGCCCCGAGTAGTTGAACTATCTTGCCAATCTTCAATGTTCTACTTCTTTGTCATCCAATATGGTAGCCACATGTGATGATCAAGCCTTCAGAATGTGAGTGGTGCAACCAAGAAACTGAATGTTTACTTTGATTTCATTTGAACTTATTTATTTATTTTATTTTTTTGCCTTTTGGGTCACACCTGGCGATGCTCGGGGGTTATTCCTGCCTTTGCATTCAGGAATTACTCCTGGCGGTGCTCAGGGGACCATATGGGATGCTGGGAATCGAACCCAGGTCAGCTGTGTGCAAGGCAAACTCCCTACCCGCTGTGCTATCACTCCAGCCTCTCATTTGAACTAATTTAAACTTAAACCGCCATCATATCAGATAGTGCAGCCTTACATGCATCTCACTAAGGGCTCCACTGAAATCACCAGAAATATTTTAAGAAATATCTCGTGCCAGGCGAGCCCTTGAGATGCCGATTTTATGGATCTGGGGCGGGGCCTAGGTGTTGCCTCTTCCCTTTTGGCAAACAACCCAGGTAAACAACTGAACCAAAACTTGGTCCAGAGCTGAGAACAACTGAACCAAAACTTGGTCCACTGTACTCTTGGGGGTGGAGAGGCACCCCCTTGCCACAGGGTTGGCTGGGGTTGGGGTCAATTTGGGCTCTGTTGGGTCTGCAGTTACTGTCTCTTTTCAAATCCCCTCTGGTCCAGGAGGGCCGATTCCTTGATCTCTGCACTTTAAGTAGGAAGGCCTGGCCCTAAGGTCCCTCACAGGCTCCAGGCCCCATCACTAGCCTCTCCCCAAGCCCCAAGATGGTACTCATCATGCCAGAGTTGTGAGAAAAGGTCTGTGGTCAAGGTGGTCCTGGACAGCTGAGGTCAAGGTGGCCGTGCTGACAGGCCAGGATCCTTGGACAGAGCCCAACCAGCCATTTTCCCAGGCTGGGCACATTGAGTGAGGCTGGTGGCCAGGCCTGAGGTTTGGCCGCTTCCTGGCTGTCTTCCGACTAACCAGATAGGCCAGTGAGTGTGTTTGGGCCCTCGACTGTGCGGGAAGAGGCTTTGGGAACACGCCTGCAGCTTGGAGACAGCCTTCCTCCCCTGGAAAAAGCTCTCAGAGTTGGGGCTCACCCAACAGCTGCTGCCTGCCTCCCCCCATTTCTGCCACCCACACCCCAAAAGTAACTTTTCCCATGACTCACCCATGGCAGCTTGTGCACTTCTTTTATTATTAAATATATAAGCAGCTTCCTATTTTTTAAATAGATATTTAAATGACTTTATATAAAATAATTCATCGCTTCCAAGTACAAAAACACAATTCTCACAGTGTGTGAGCCAATATTCCCTCTGGCTTTCTCCGAGGCAAGAGGGGGGTTCCTGTGCCGGCATTGGGGGCGTCCCCCTGCTCGCTCCTGGGCCGCGGAGTGCCCAGAGAGCTTCTGCAAGTGGGTGGAGTTGCTTTTAAAATACTATGTGTCTCATGGGTGGGAGGGAGGGAATAATGTCTTTCCCCCCTCCCCGTCCTGTTTTTTTTTTCTTTTTCCTTCCATTTCCAAATACATTTGTTCCCACATCCCAAAGAGTCCGTGACCAGAAGGTCTCCACAGGGAACCTTCTCTGCTGCCGTTCCCTCGGCTGTCAGCAGCAGGGGGCAGGGGGACCCTCACTTTCTAGGGCAGCAAGGGAAGGGCATGACCCAGGGCCAGGGTAGGCAGGGGCCCTCAGGGGAGAGCCCCAGGCAGCAGTTGAGGAGGATACTCAGCAGCACAAGGGACCACCCATGACCCCCAGCCCTGCTCTCCCAGAGGAGGCCTTGGCCTGGCCAGAAGCAGGGGCTCCAGGCATCCCACCCTTGTGCAACCCGACAGGTGGAACAGCGTGGCTGAGGAGACAGCTGGTAGCATCGCTGCCCGCCGGGGCTGGGCAAGACAAGGGCGAGAAGTCAGTGTGGAGCTGTGCAGATGAGGTGGGGTGCACCCCTATCCCTCAGCCCGTAACAGAGACCACCCGAGCACCTGTTGCCAGCGGCCTTCCAGCTATGGTTGGGCCAGAGCCAGGTTCCAGAAAAATCAGGGGGGGGTGGTCAGGGGGTCAGGGGTGCACAGGCCTCCTCCTCCACCTCAGGGATACTTCCTCCATTTCAAAGATGCATTTCAGCCAGAGGGTCCCCTGCGCACACCCACTCCTCACCCCCCACCCAGGTGCCCTCCCACTCATCACTCCCCTCTCAGGAATGCCAAAGTGCAAGATGCAGAAACCTGGGCGAACACGCAGCCGAAAGACCTGCTTCGGCCGGCAGCCTGCTTTCCCCACCTGCCCATCTGCCTGGGTCACCCTGGCACAGGACAGGGCTCTGGAGCTCCTTCAGCCAGCGCAGGTGGGTGCAGGAAGCAGGTGGGGAGCGGCATCCGCTCAGCAGGCAGGTTCCGTATTCACAGTGCAGTGGTCTCCAGGCAGCCTGCAGGCCCAGGCCCGGGGGGGGGGGGGGGGGGGGGGGAGGAGAGGGGCAGAGGTCCGAGCTTGAACTTCCCTCTTGGCATCATAAGCCCCCACCAGGCAGGTCCTGAGAGCACAGCTGGCCTCCCCTGTCCACCTGGCACCCCGCAGAGGGCACTGGGCAGAGCAGAGAGTGCGGGTCCCTCGTGGCGTCGAAGCAGCAGGCCCTGGAGCCTTGGCTGCCATCCGTCCATGGGGCTGAGGCCTGGCTGGATGCGGCCAATACCGTCCCGCCCTGTGGCGCTCAGGCTTCTCTCTCCGGAGACAAGTCCCTGCTCGTCGCTGTCGGCTCCCTGGGCCCCCCGCAGCGCCCATCCTGCTCTCCCACACGTTGCGGGCTGGCGGGCTGGGCAGGAGGCAGGAGGAGGCTGGGGCCCCGGAGGGCCACAGGGTGGTCGGTAGCGCTGGCCAGGAGCCCCTGAGGCCTGCGAGAACAATCAGCAGCATGGAGGGCCTCCTCCGGCCCCTCGAGTCCAGAGTGAGGGTTGATGCGGCCGTGCCCCACCGCGCTGCTCTGGTCCAGTCTGGGGCAGGCAGGAGCTCCCGTGGCGGGTGGGCCACCTTCCCAGGAGAATGGCTGGGGCAGGGGGGGTGGACACCCCCGTAACATCTCCCATGGAGAGACGGTCCTGTGTGCCCAGCTGCAGGGAGAGAGATAAAGGCCGGTCAGCACAGGGGAGCAGAGGGAGGGTACACGTTCCAGTGGGCTGTGGGTGCTGTTGGCCGGACTCCCCCGCCCCCCGCTCTGTCCTCCGCTTGCTGTCACAGACACCCCAGATACCTCAAGGGATCGGACAGCTTTCTCTGGCAGCAGCCCAGGCCACAGGGCAGACTGGCCTCCCCTGGGGTCAGGGGTGGGGGCGGGGGGAGCCAGGGCAAGGGGAAGAAGGAAGCAGGACCATGGTGGGGTGGGGTCAGAGGGTGTATGGGTTTTGCCTAAAGAGGCCTCAGGTAAGAACTTCGATGGCCCAGCACAGCCTCAGGGAAGTTTCCTCCCTCCCTTCCCTCACAGAGGCCAGCAGGCACAGCATGGGGACAGCTGGACAGAGGGAGAATGCAGGTTGCTGGGGAGTTCAGAGACAGTTCTGAAAAAAGGAAACTGCCACCCAGCCACTGGCATGTGAACTCCGGAGCAAACCAGCCTCCCCTCCCACTTCTGTAGGGGCCAAAGGACTTGTCTCCCTGGCCATCCACGGGAGATAGGGCCCTGCTGTCCCCTCCCCCCTGCCCAGCATCCTCGGAACGCTTTGTTCCCAGAGCAGAAATCCCCTGGCCTCCCTCCAAGGGCCTGACTTTGGACCTTGGGTGGCGTTTCCCTCCCGGACCCTCCATGGGCCCTAATGGCATGGCAAGTGATGGGTGAGAGGGCAGATGCGACCACAGCCTCTGGCGGCCAGCCCATTCCCATGCTCCAGAGGGGGCCTCAGGGAGAGCCGGGAACTGGCCATGTGCCTGCTGAGGGCGACCAGCCACAGGCCCCGAGGGGGTGCAGGACCGGAGAAAGACCCAACGGGCCAGCTCCACACAGCTGTCCCTGGAGAGGAGGAGCCATGTCCGGAATTCCCGGGGAGGCCTTTGCTCGGGCCCTTTCCACGTCCTCCTCCTCCTCCTCTCTCTGGTCAGAGCAGTGGTCAGTGAGCCTCCTGCTGCTGGATCTCCTGACTCCCAGGAGTGGGGTGCGGCCCCTGCCATCTGGGCCTTCTCTCAGTGAAATCTTTCTGCTTGTCTGTTTTTGCCACCTAAGCTTTGCTGGGGCCGGGGGGGGGGGGGGGGGGGGAGGGGGAGGGGGAGGGGGGGAGGGCTGGGTGCCTTTCCTAGTGAAACTCAGCCAATGGGTGGAGTGGTTTAAAGCTAGTCCCCCAGGATGCAAACCAGGGGGGAGGCACTCCCAGGCTACAGTCAGCACTGCTGGGGTGGGCTGTCTAAGTGACACCTGGAGGGAGGAAGAGGAAAGTGGGGACAGGTGTGAGAATAAGCAGGCAGGGAAACAAGGTGGTGTTAGGAGGGGTGGCGCAGAGGACCAAGATGAAAGGCTGAGGCTGGTGATCAGTCGAAGGGGGTGCTGCACTGAGCCACAGAGTCCCCAGGGACCTCTGTCTAGCCACTGTGGACCAGGGTTGAAGGAGTCTAGGTCATTTCCACAGTCCTACCAGGGTTCCATCTGACCCGCCCAGCCGACGGCAAGGTGGGCCCCGACTCTACGGCTGGTTCAGATAGGCAGCTTCTTGCTCCCTGTTCTTCTGGACGCCTGCCAGCATCCCTATCTCTCTGGGAGGGGCCCAGACCTGTCAGTCAGCGCATGGCATGCCCTGGGGTGTGCTCTGCCCTTGGCGTGAGCATAGCTCCAGCCTGTACACGGTTCTCCTTCTTGTGCCCCTCTAGGAACAGGTCAGAGCTGTGGGTCCCATCTTCCCATCCTGCTGGCACAGCAGGGGTGTGATCAACCCACAGGGCTCACCCCCCGCTACTGACTCAGCAAACCTGACGGGCCGTCATGGCCAGTCAACTCCCGCTTAATAGATGCCAACCAGTTGGTCAGTCAGTCAGTCTGTGTCAGTGAGTGCGCTGGCCAACTGGTCAACCAGAGGCTGGTCCTTTCAAGACAACCAGAAAAGGCCGGTCAGCCAGCCAGCCTTGAAGTCAGTCAGTGAACATTTATTGAGTTCTTGGCCAGCATGGAGGAACCCTCTGTATCAGAGCCTAAGAGATAAGGAGAAATGAAAAAAAAAAAAAAAAGTAGAAGACAGAGTCCCGGCCCTTCAGGGGCTTACAGCTTCCTCGAGGTTTTGGAATATACAGATGCACATAGAATAAGCTTTTTTTTTTTTTTTTTTTTTACTTTTTGGGTCACATCTGGTGTTGCACGGGGGTTACTCCTGGTTCTGCACTCAGGAATTACTCCTGGCGGTGCTCAGGGGACCATATGGGATGCTGGGAATCGAACCCGGGTTGGCTGTGTGCAAGGCAAACACCCTACCTGCTGTGCTATCACTCCAGCCCCTAGAATAAGTTTTTAAATGTATAAAAACCACATCCAAATAAAGAACTGCAAAACCAGTATAGTATTAACAAAATACAAAGGAGTAGAGGAGTGTGAATTAGAGGAGCAAGTCGGGGGGTGGGGAAGAATTGTAGGAACCTCTGCACAGTTCCTGTGGGACCGGAGGATGATGGGAACTGGATGGGGGGGGCAGTGTGGGCTACCTGGAATCACGTGATCCCAGGATAAAGCTGAGGCAGTGGAAAGATTTTTTTTTAAGATTTTGTACATATGAAGGCGTGCTCAGGGCTTATTTCTAACTACAGAGTAGAGATCACTCCTGGCAATGCTCAGGGGACCATATGGTGTGTCAGGGATCCAACTGGGTTGGCTTGAGTGCAAGGCAAGCACCTTACCCCCTGTATTATCTCTCCAGCCCAGCAGAGACACATCTTTTTTTTAATCCATCCTGTGGGTGAGACTATGAGAGTCACTAACCCATGTGCAGGAGACTCTCAGGAACGCCACTCAGAATGAGAAGGAAAAATCTTTCAACAGTCTTGGAGGGCTAAGGGAGGGTATGTGAAGAGATCATCAAGGTGACTAAGCTGCCCAGGGGTCCAACAATCTGGCTTGACAGAGTCTTCTGGAAAAAGGAATGAGGGATGTTAACAGACCACATGCTCCACATATGATAACAATATGATGTGGTTGTTAAAAACACCAACAAAACCCCCCTCCCCCAACTCATGCGATGTCAAACTGTAAATACAAGCATCCTGTCCAGATAAGAGGGGTAACAGTCCCACTGTACTCTGAGATGGTCAGACAACATCTGGAGCACTGTGTCCAGGGCTGGGCGCCACATTTTCGGAGGGACAGGGACAAAGGAGCGTGTCCAAAGGAAAGCTACCAGGACGGTGAGGGGTCTGAAAACCATAGCATAAAAGCAATGTTTGAGGGGCTCGCCACACTTCACTTGGAGCAATTTTTATCGGGTGGGGGGATGTGCAGAGATCTGACTTAAATTCTCCAGGGCGCTCTTGAGTACTGGAGGAAAGACTCGGGCAAGAAGTGGGGCATACTGGCATGAGGGAGGACCCCCTCACAGGGCTGCCAGCTAATAGCTGGGACTATGACTCGGCTGGAGCAAATGAGGGGCAGCAGGCTCCCCGTCAGGCATGTGGAAAGGGGACTCCAGGCCAAGGGGCTGCTAAAGCCTTTAAAGACGAAGGGCTCTGGCTCCTAGGTACGCAAAGCAGGGAGGCAGACAGGAGCCTAGCTGAGGAGGGAAGCTGGTGCACAGCCGGGGGAGAATATTGGAGTTGAGGTGCCCAGGGATGCAGTCAGGGCTACTGGACTCCCAGGATAAAGCACTGACCCGTAGGATTTTAGTTGCGAAAGAAGAGATGGTGGCAACAAGACCCATCGCCTGATGCACGAATAATAACCCAAACCCAAGGCAGCAGAACCCAGCCTTGGAGCAGTGAGGGGAACCGAGGCCCAGAGGGGAGGCAAAGAGGATAATGTTAGCAGAACTGAAAGAGGTGGGGAGGGGAGAGGGTGGGAGGGATGTGGACCTTGGGGGAGTCGGTGCAGCCTAAGGTGAGTGGGAAGGGGTGAGGTGGTCTGAGGAGCGTGGGGAAGTGACGTCAGCAACTTACCTGAGATTCCCCTACACTGGTGCTTCCACCTGTCTGTCTGCATCCTGAGTCAGGGGGCTGTAGGCAGAACACAGGGCTGGTCTGAGACTCGAGCACGGGCATGAGGGGGCATGTCCAGCTGGGCCCCAGACCTCCCATGCTGCAGGCTCAGGTTGGGAAGACCCACACCTTCCTGACCTTCAGGAGAAAGCAAGGGAGTCCAATAATTCCCGGCTCTCTCCAACAGTGCTTCTTCCACTCTGCCCTCATGGGGGTCTGAGCTCCCCATCCTCAGAACAAGTGGGCAGCAGGTCAGAGAAATGGTCACTGCAGCCAGTTCCCCCCAGCCCCTAGTGACCACCAGATCCCCCACTCTCACCTGCCCTCAGGTGGCTCCATGGGGGACTCTTCTGTCTGAGGCTGCCAATGGTGGTTCTGAGGACAGAGAGAAGAGACCCACTGAGGAGTCAGGGAGAGTGACAGTCCTCTCTCAAGGGAAATCCAGAGGATCCCCCCTGGACCCCTGCTCCTCCCCCTGACCATCAGACGGGCATGCCCGCCCCACCAGCTCTGGGGAACGCCCTGCAAACCAGCACCTCCTCCTCCTCCTCCCATTCTCCCAGCCAGCTTCTCCTCCTGCTCTCAGATCCAGAACATTCTCTCCCACTCCCTTCTGTCCGGGGGAGCCCACATCCTGTGCCCTCCCTGTCACCCCCGCCCCCTCCACATGCACCCCCCGCCCCGCTCCCCCACTTCCCGCTCCACCCAGCACCAGCCGCCCGGCCCTGGGGCTAGCAGCGCCCATCCACCTCTCAGGGGCACGTCCACCCAGCCTGTGCCCTGCCCGGGGTTCCCCTTACCCGCCGCTTCCACCTGTAGAAGAGCAGGCCGCCAACAGCGAGCAGGACCAGGATGACGCCTGGCACCAAGAGGCGGAAGACAAAACTGGAGAGCTGAGGGTCGGAGAGTCCTGCGGGCTGGCTGCCTCGGCCTGCGTCAGTCAAAGGAACTGAGTTAAAATGGGCCGGGGGCCAGACGCCGCCTGCGCCGGCTCTTGCTCCTTCCAGCTCTGTGGGGCTCCTCCGATCCCTGGTGCTCCTCTTGCCCTCCAGCTCCCCGAGGGACAGAGCGGGGCTTCCAGAAAGGTGTGGCTGGGAGGACAGGGTGGAGGGGCTGCTGAGGCCTGGCGGGGTGAGGGTCGGTGTCCCGGCGGAATCCCGGCGGTCTCTGGGCAGGGCTAGTGAACCGTCTGTCTTCTGGGGCGTGTGCTTTGGAGCCAGGCTCGTGGGTCTCAGGGACCCCACCCCGGGCATCACGGTGCTGGGAGCGTCCGCCTGCTGCTGGCTCTTGGTGGATCCCGGGAGTGGAGACACTTCACGGAGGGAGTTGATGGCACTGGCCGTCCCCGCCTGGGCACTGCCACCGGCTGGCCTCGAAGAGGAGAGCTCTGCCTGGCGAGGGTCAGGATCCTCGCTTGTCTCTCCAGAGGCCTCTTCCAGCTCCCAGTTAGTGTCCAGTACAGAGTTGAGAACATCCTCTAGCCCCGGGCCTGGCTGAGGTGAACTTCTGGTGGGGCCGCCCTCTACGCTGGGGGACTCCAGCGTCTCAAAGCTCTGACAGGTGCTCCTGGGGGGTCGCTGCTTGGCACTGCCCGGATCCGTTGTGTGAAGGGGTTGCTCAACGGGCAAGAGGGAGCTGTCCTCCGTCCCCCGAGAACCAGCCCTGCTCAAGCTGGCCAGAGGGGCCTTGGAGGGGGCGAGGGGCTGCAGAGGGAGGGCAGAGGCCGGGCCACTGTTAGGGGTGGCTTTGGGGTACAGGCAGTTGCAATCAGGCTTGGTCACCACATCTGAAAGAACCACAGAGAGAGGGAGAGAGGGGGGGGGGGGGTGGGTGGAGATAGAGTCACCGGCCTCCAGCACAGCCTTCCCAGAGGGGCTCGAGAGCAGGATGGGGGTCTAGGGGCGCTCTCATCATCCAGCTCAGCCCGGGGGCTGAGGAGAGGCCTGCAGAGGGGACACTCGAGGGGACGGCCTCAGGCAGGGAAGGGACAAACAAACACAGGCTCGGAGACAGAAAGCAAAGAGGGCTCTTAGGTTCACGGACGGCAGGAGCGATGATCTGAAAGCAAAGCAGCCCCGGGGTCCACTGCCCAAGCAGGGGAGGAGCTGAGGCCACCAGGACCAGCACAAAGATGCCCTCGCTGCGCCCCAAGAGGCTATGCCCCACAGGAAGGCAGTGGGGCGCACACAGCCACAGGCCAGAGGGAGCTGGGGCAGGGGTGCGGCCAAGGCTTGAGGTCTGGGGACCGAAACAACGAGACTGGGCTTGGCCACTGCCCCTGCTGTGGGCAGCAAGGCTGCATGGAGGAGGGCCTGGGTGGCACAGGACGCAGAGACGAGGACACGCAGGACACACATGTGCACAGCCGGGCTGGCCCAGGGAGGTTTGCATGACGCTCAGACTTCAAATCCAGCCTTGTCCCTTGAGGGGCGATTCAAGGCGTCTTGGGGACTTCTGGAGTGAGGGTCTCCCAGTGGTGCGCAGCAGGGCGTGTGGAACAGGGGCCCCAACTCCAGATGGAGCCTCGGTGCCCTCCATGGAACCCCCCCCCCAATGTCCAGCCAGCCTGCAGAGCCGGTGGGGAGAGCCGCCATGCCTGCAGGCTCTCCCAGAGGGTCCTTCCCCAGCCTCAACGCCCCTTCCTGACGCCTGCACATGCAGACACATGTAGGTGTACATGCACACACATGTTAGGAGAGACATGTGCCTGGGCGCCCCCCGAGGGGGGGGTGTCCACAAAGCCACATATGTACACGGAAGCGCATCTGCACACACAGGAGCACAAGTAGCATCCAAGCTATCTCCCAGGGGGTCCCTCCTGTCCCTCTGCTCAGCCCCTAGACCCCATTTCCTTCCCACACCCACCCTCCCTCTGCTCCCTCAAACCCCCTCCCTGGGGGCTTACCTTGGCTGGAGCACTTAGCAAAGCTCTTGTTGCAATTCTTGCTGAAAACGTTCCAGTCATTTTTAAGGAGATACTTTGTCTCATTAAAGACATTCTTGATTTTCTCCAGCAACTGGAGGGGCGTCTCATTGAAAGTTCGGACACAGGCCTGGAAGGAGAGCAGGGACCCCACACCCCGAGACTTGGTGAGCACGAACTCCCAGAGGCTCCAGCGTGTTGGCCAGAGCCCCTTGACCGTCCTCACATGGCTCTGCTTTTCCATTCCTAGCTCTCCTCTCCGCTGGGGTGCAGCAGCATCTGTCCTGAGGTCCCGAGCACTGTAGTTGATTTAACCCCTACTCACGGACCAGACAAACATCATTCCCGGGGGTTCATGCCACCGGGGAAGCAAGGAGGTCCCTGCTTGAGATGGGCACTAAGTCCAACGAGGTATCAGGCCTCCATACATTGCCACAGCGTGGTGAGTCCCGTGAAGTCCTCACTGTTCTGCCGCACAGCCAAGGGAACTAACTGAGGGCCAGGTGTGCAGCAGTAGGATGGAGCCGTGCCAAGGGCCTGGGGCAGGAAAGAGCCTGACATGCTGAAAGACTAGAAGAAGGGGAGCATGCCTCAATGGCCTTGCCATTTGGTTAGGAGAATGGGTCCCAGTTGCCTGTCCCATCTCCTCAGGGCTGGTCAGCGGGTCTGAATAGAGGGAAGGAGGGAGCAGGCAGAGGTCAGGTGTCACAGGGCCTTGGCCATGTCAAAACCATTCAACTTCCTCTGTGAGGCAGACTCAAAATAGTGGTGTGGTTGCTGGGAGGTGGATGGTGGCTGGAACAGCTGGAGCTTTTGAAAGATCATCCTGCCTGTGGTGTGGACTGATGAGGGGAGTGAGGGCCTTCTCAGGCCTCAGGTGTTCTGGAAGGGAGTTGGGATTGCCTTCTATTTGCGTCAGCTCTTGGGACTCAGGGGCCCACTGTGGATGGCGTCCTAATGGCCTCCACACTGTCCTGACTTTCTGCTCAGCTGTCAGCACCTGTTCTCAATGTCCTCACCCAACTCCCCTCCTAAAGCTGGACTTCACATGCTGACCCTCCTTGGCCTCCGTCCTGAGCCCACCTTGCCTGTTGCCAGGGACTTGCCCGCCTTCCCACTGCTCATCTTCTCAGCCACCCAACATGACTGTTTACCAGCAAACAAAGGCATGAACGTCGGAACGTGGAGCCCTGGGCTCAGCGCCATCATCCTAGGCTTGGCACTGTGGGCCAAATGACCTCTCCAGTTTGGGCTCCACCCCTAAGCTACAAAGTCAGGACAGGAAGGCCTGCCAGCCCATCCCTGGCCAGAGCTGTTTAAGAAAGAAGTAAGCTGGTTCTCTCCTCTCTCTCTCTCTCTCTCTCTCTCTCTCTCTCTCTCTCTCTCTCTCTCTCTCTCTCTTTCTCTCTCTCTCTCTTTCTCTCTCTCTCTCCATTCTGCCTAAGCTTCCATCTCCTTCATACTTCACCTCGTGACTTACCCAGGTGCCCCCTGAGACAGCAGGGCCCAAACCCACCTGCCTGCCTTCTCTTCCCTGCCATCTCATCAAAAGACTTTGCAAGGGCTAGCTCCCCAGGCTTCACTGCTCCCCTTCCTGAAAGGGAGGTCGGTGGGTCACACCCGCCAGTGCTCAGGGATTACTCCAGACTCCATGTGCTCAGAGAGGGGCCATCACACCATCACTCCTGGAGGGGTCCAGGGGACAATATGGGGTGTCAGGATCAAAACTGGGTCAGGCACGAGCAAGGCCCATGCTTTACCTGCTGTACTAAGGCTCCAGCCCTGAAGCCATGCCCTTATAGCAACGGGTGGGGGTGTCATTATTGGGATAGGTTTGTGAAAATGTAGATTCTCACAGCAGATACAAGGACTCAGACCTTCTCTGGCGGTGCATTGTGGTAGGCCACATTCTAAACAACACCCTATGGGGTTCTTATGAACCATAATGCCAGTTCACCTCAGAGACAATGCTCTTATTACAGTGCATTTTAATATAATTATGTTTTAATAGAAAATGATTTTCTCTCCCAGTCCTTTGCTCCCACAGCTACCACCCTCTCTCTCTCTCTCTCTCTCTCTCTCTCTCTCTCTCTCTCTCTCTCTCTCTCTCTGTGCCATTGTGCAGTCAGGTCCCTGCCCCATGGGATCCCCACTGGCACTTGAGCTGTTCTTTGTTTGTTTGGTTGGTTGATTTTATTTTTTGGGGGGGGGGCTTTCTGGGTCACACCTTGCGATGCTTAAAGGTTACTCCTGGCTCTGCACTCAGTAACTCCTCCTGGCGAGGCTCAGGGGACCATATGGGATGCTGGGGATTAAACCTGGGTCAGCTGTGTGCAAGGCAAACGCTCTACCCACTGTCCTATCGCTCTGGCCCCAAGGCGTCTCTGCTGTTCCCTTTGATCTGGCACCAGCCCCCAACAGTCACTTTTCAGCGCTTATCTTGTGGCTTCTCGACTCCAAGTGATAAGTTGTTGGCTCGCTGCCCCCCACCCCCGCTAATGCTAGGGTTCCTGGGTCTGCTGCCTTTCTCCAGTGCGGTCCCTAGGCTTCACAGTCCATCTGCCTTTGATATTCGTCAGGGCCACTTGCCATTTCACATGTCACCTACCCCTGAAGCACCTGCACGTCCCTAAACCAGCTTAGCCCACCCATGCTTCCTCATTTTAAGGTCTTCAAGCTTCTGGAAAGTCAGAACATCTTTTGTTTGGTTGGCTGGATTGAGGCCATACCCAGCAGTGCTCAAGGCTTATTCCTGCACTCAGGGGTCACTGCTAGTAGGACTGGGGAGGGGGTGCGGTTGGGGTGCTGGGGATCGAGCCAGGTCAGCCGTGCACAAGGCAAGCGCGCTGCCCACTGTGTTATCCCTCTGGCCCCCTTCCTTCTCTTCCTGTTTTCTCTCTTCTGTGGTGGGACGACTATGATCCTACAAACTACCTCTTTGGCTTTCTTGTCAGCTGTCTAGCCACCCGCAAATGTAAGCTCTGTGGCTCTGGGGGGTTTTGCCTGTTTTCGTTAACAGTCACCCCTTAGCGATTTGCCGAACCAATGAGTAGTCCTCGTGGCTTATCATGCTTTGGGCCTTGTTTGTTTAACAGTGGCCAGTTTCACTTGACATGAAAACAAAGGAGTTCTTCCTGAGAAATACGTCACCAACTCTGTGGCTCTTGGGCAGAACTTTGGGAATGAAGAAACAGGTGAAAGATGGGTGCTGACACAGGGCATTAGGCAATGAATGAGCTCTGACAGCCGTGTGACCCCATCCTCAGGGCCCCGGGCCTCCTACCTTGTCCTGCTCCTCATAGTCCTTGGTGAAGCAGCTCTTTAGATTCAGAGACAGTTCCTGGAGCTGCATGATGACGTTGGCGTTGGGGGTGTTGTCTTTGAATCGCATGGTGTCCTCCAGAATGTCCTGCACCAGCAGAAATGCCTTCTTCAGGTAGCACACGGGATCCTTCTGCAAGAGACAACCTGGAGTTTACTGTCTGGGGATGCAGTGGGGAGCCCAGACTCCAGGCCAGTTGCTCCCAGTGCAGACACACAGAGAGAGAGTTTCTACTTGCCAAGCTCTGGCCCCATAGGGGAGAGACCAGGGCTCCCTCCATCAGAAGGGTACAGTCCTCAGCTGACCTTTCACACTTTTGCTCTAGGACCTGGCACTAGGGTGGGGGACTGTGGATTCTGTTCAGAGAGAGATCTTTGGATTTCTGGTAGATGAGGCCTTATTGCCTTGAAGCCAGTGTGTACCACCGGTGGCTCACACTCGAATGTGGTTTACTTAATGCAAATTGGCTTTTGTTTTGGTTTGGTTTTGGGTCTATATCCAGCCAGGATTGGGGGGCTTTCTCCTGGCTCTGCATTCAGGAATTACTCTTGGTGGGCTCGGAGGACCATATATGGGGTGCTGGGAATAAAATCTGGGTTGGCTGCAAAGCAAATGACCTATGCTGCACCATAGGTCTTTTGCCCCAGTTAATGCAAATTAAAGTGTCAGTGTCCCATGTGTTAATCAGCATTGGGGTAAGTGGGGTGCCTGGGAGTCTTCCTGTCTCTCTCTTTTCAAACTTGTTTTTTTTGTATGTGTGTGTTTTGTTTGGGGGACTCGCCTTGCAGAGCTCAGGGCTTACTCCTGGATCTGCACTCAAGGATCAATCCTTGTGCTGTGTTTGGGGGCAACATATGCAGTGCTGGAGATCGAACCCGAGCCAGTCACATTCAAGGCAACTGTACTATTTCTCCAGCCCTGTCTTCAGACTTTTATTCATAAAAGTTTTCCAGTTCATGACTTTTATTCATAACAGGTTTTTCAGTTCATGACCCTTATCCTTGAGGCTATCTAGGGATGCTGGAGACCACCTCCTGGGTTAGAGGGAAAGACAGTGTTTCCTCTCCCCAAAGACACGGTGGTCGTTTTGATGGAGACCTGATTTAGCTCTGTATTTCAAGCACCGCTGTGACTGGTGCTGGCTCCTTCCTAATAAACACCTGTTAAGTGTGAGCGTGTGTAGGGCCAGAGAGGTACGAGGAGGGTAGGGCTGCTGGGAAAGTATTTACTATAGGCACCAGGCAGAGCTTGTTGGGGACGGAGGAGATGCGAGGGTAGGGCTGTGGAGTGGAGACTGGAGCTTTAAAGGTGAAGAGAACATAGCTTTCTCCTGGAGGGAGGGTCCCTGCGCAGGTTGGGAGGGAACCTGGAGGGAGCAGTTTGGAGGTGAGAGGATGAGCGCCCCTAGTGGCTGGTTGCACCCATGGGAAGCCGGGAGCCCAGTTAGGAGGTTCTGGAAAATGCTGGAATCACTGGTAGGTCCAGATTTGGGCAGAACCCAGCAAGACTGCTGGGTGGCAGGATCTGTAACTGGGAGGCTGACTGGGCAGTGGGAGGAGGAAGAGGGAAAGGCTGGCACTGGCTGCCGGGCAGAGATGGCATCTTGCCTCCAAGCATGACAGATAGGCCAGTCTTCCGGAATTATTATTATTATTATTATTATTATTATTATTATTATTGGGGGGTCACACCCAGCAATACACAGGGGTTACTCCTGGCTCATGCACTCAGGAATTACTCCTGGCGGTGCTCAGGGGACCATATGGGATGCTGGGAATCGAATCCAGGTCAGCCGCGTGCAAGGCAAATGCCCTATCTACCCACTGTGTTATCGCTCCAGCCTCAAATCTTCCTGAATTAAAAGCAGGCCTCTGTCACTTCCTACTGATGCCAGCCTGAAGACAATAAACAAGTGCAGAGTACCACACTGTGATCCTGTCTGGGTAGAGCCAGGAAAGGCATGTCTTGACATGGAGAAGGGCAGAAGGCAGCAATGAGGACCCTGGGTCCTGCCGAGCCCTGGACCTTTGCATCTCAGATTTGGGCATGCAGAGATCCTATGTCCTCCGGTCCAGCTCTGGGATTTCTCCTATCTTTATGCACCTCATATGTCCCCCCCATCTCCCGCCACTGAAAAATGCATGAAGTTGGCACAGGGGCCTGGGGACAGCAGTAACTCACCAGCTGCTCCTGGTCGACAAACTCAAAGGTAATTTGGCATGAGGTCTCCATCTGGCTGTCAATCTATAAGAGAAAGCAGGGGCCAGGGTGGCAGTGTTGCCTCCCAAAGGTGGCAGGCTAGAGTTTTTGGATAGATCTTGGTTTGCATCTCAACTGTCCCCACTCACGTGGGTGAGAGGAAGGACTGTACCATCCGCAGAAGGGAGGGGAGGGCTGCAGGCCACCTGCTACCTCCCACCCCAAAACACAGGACAGAAGCCAGTTGGCTAACAAGGAAGATCTGAGCGAAGACCTAAGGCATGAGCTCCCACTGGGAGGTAGTGAGCTCCCTATGGTGGCAGGAATTCAAAGCTGGAGAGGCTCTGGGCATTCCGTTATCTCTAGGGGCAGGAGCTAGATTCCCTTAACCCCACACTGGCCTTCAGGGTAGTGGTTTGGTGACTCTGAGCTCAGAGAATCTTGTGGCTTTCGGTTCATCTTGTGTAACTGTGAGGGTGACATGCTCCAGGAGTGGAGGGGTGGGGAGAGGAGAGCAGCAGGAGGCCCCGTTTACAGCCCCTGAGCTCAGGGCCCTGGAGCTGGTCTGAGCCAGTGCACCACTGCCCTCCAGCTCCTGCCCTTTCCTGGCACGCCAGAGGAATGGTCCATTCTCTTCTGAGTAAGACTGTAGCCATGACAGTGACCTGATTGTGCCTGGCAGAACCGCATTCAGAACTGCTGAGGGCTGTGCCTCCTTCTAAGAATAAGGTACCAGTTCCTTCGGGGCCCTGGCTGCCCCCGCCCCAGTGTCCAGCCAAAGCAGGGAAGTGGTGGGGGGGGGGGGGGCAGAGTGCTGGGAATCAAGCAGGAGCTTTCCCTCCCGGGTTGGCGGGGGACCTTGGGGCCAGGCTGGCGGCACATCTGAGAGTCCAGGAGCGAAGGCAATATCTGGACCCAGCAGGCGGGCTGGGCTGGTGCCCTGGAGGAAAGCGTCTCTCTCTTGGAGGGAGAGCCGGCCTCACTAGCCTTTGTAGAGTGCTCAGTCGACATTGTGTCCAGGCAATCATTAACCCAGGCAACCAGCTGGAAACCCACTCTCCAGCCTGCCTGCGGGGGGACTGTAAGGCTTGTGGTTGGTGTGGGGGTGGGGCACCCCACCTCCAGAAAAGCAATAAGGGGAACACCAGGGGAGGGAGGAGGGAGCCCCAGGCCAGGTCCTGCACATTCCTATTTCCCTGCCCCCTTCAACAGGCTCCTGCTTCCGTGTCCCAACCCCCCACCCACCCCCACCCCCACCCCTGCCCACACTCACCAGCTTCTGTAGGTTCTGCAGGTGTCCGTTGCCAATCATGTGACTACAGCTCTCCGGCACCTCCTCGGTGACACTCCTGCTCACCAGGAGACCGGCCAGCAACAGCCAGGGGCCCAGCCATGTCTGTGATGGAGAGGGCGTCATTCACCTGCAGCCCTAGCTGCCCCCACCTGGGAACCCCTGTGCCCTGCAGGGCTGCCACAAGCAGAACCTCCTATCTAGAATGAGACCGGATCTCTGCTGCCACAAGGAAATGGCTCCCCAATCCAGCTTTCTTAGGATTTTTCTTTTTTATTGGTGGGGGGAGGGGATGGTTCTCACCAATGGTGCTCAGGGCTTACTCCTATCTCTGTGCTCAGAGGACTGTATGTGGCACTGGGTTGACTGCATGCAAGGATCCACTGCGCTTTCTCTCTCTCTCTCTCTCTCTTCCCCCCCACCATGGCCCGTCTCAGGATTTCTGAACCAGCAACAGCACAGTCTTGTTCTCCCTCCATCCTAACCCCAATGTCATCTCCTCCAAGGAGTCCTTCCTGATCAACCCCAGATGAAGCTTATCTACACATAAAGCTCCAAGCACTTGGATGCCATATCCCCCTGTCTGCATTCCAGTGATGCAGGAAACTCAAAGGATCTACACATTGGAACGCGCCAGCAACCTCAGGTACTGACCAGGCAGCAGGAGAGCTGCTCTCTCACTTGTTTATGCACCAGCCTCCAGGCTTCGAGTCAGAGATACTTCCCTTGGACCCAGCCCTTCCTCCCACCTGATTCCACACAGATCAGCTCTGTCACTGGAAAAAAACAGGGACCCAAACTCAGTTTTGCTGGGGACCCCTCCATGCTGGAGACCTCTAGGAGCACTGGGTGGATATCAAAAGGAGCCCAAGAGATTAATCAGAGGAGGAGTTGTCAGCTCTGTGCCATCCTTGACTCGTACCTGCCTCTTGAAGCCCCATCAGACCCCGCATCCAGCTGTCCAGCTAGATTCCAGCCATGCCAAGCTTGCTACATTCTCTGCCCTTTTTCAGCATCCTTGGCCCTGCTCACCCTGCACCCAACCACAGTGACGGGGCTGAGGGCTAACCACCCATCCGTTCCTGCTCCCCCCTTCCTCCCTTCCTCCCTCCACAGGGCTGATTTCCCTAGAATTTCTCCCTGCTCCTGGGTCTCCCCTTCTCCAGAGACCCCTGGACACTGTCCTCCACTCCAGTTTGCCTCCTGGCAGGGATGCCCCCAGATTCAGGGAAATTCTCCTAGGGTGGAGTGCAAGCTGGCACCTTCTGGGCTCTGGCTCAAAAATTCAGATGATGAGACAAATCTGGCAAATAAAGAGCGCATCGGAAAAATACAGGGACTTGCCGAAGCAGCCTACGGAGCGCTGATCTCCATGGAAATCAAAGCCCAAACGTGTGCCAGCCCCGGGGGCCCTCAGGGAGATTCTTGGAAAATGGAGAGAAGTTGATGGCAAAAGGGAGGGGGAGGATGGTGGGGAAAGACAGGTGGGCCAACGCCACTCCCCGGGGTCCAGGGAGGCAGAATGTGGAAGAGGGAGGATGTACTGGGTGCAGGGAGCTTCAGAACCCCTCGGGCAATTCAGGAGGGAGTTGTAGGGGTTTATGGCCATCCTGGCTGTGAGGGACATCCCAGTAGAGCCACTGGAACTGACCGGGCCATGCAGCTGTCTCTCCTGGGCTCAGGTGTAAAGGATGTGAGATAGGGAATGCTTCCTCTGCCCGCTGAGATGTCTGAAGTGCAAGGCCAGTGGGGCTTTCAGACGGATGTCAGGCATCAGGGTGGGGACAGGGCAGCCCCACAGGGAAGGCTGCCTCTGAAGGCCCCCCCCCACCCCCCGTGCTCCCAGAGCCCCACTCTGGCCTCTGAGGAGGACCGGACTAGACAGGCACCCAGGGGTTAACACCCAGCGACTGGCTGGGCTGGCCCTCCTCTCCTCCATTCCTCCTCCCTCCCATCCGCTGACTGGGGTAGCCTGAAAGAATCTGCGTGTGTCTGGCTCAGAGATGCTGGGACAGCTCAGCCCCCGGGGCCAGATGGCCGTCCTCACCTGCCTCCATCCTGCTCTGTGTTAACCATCACGGGCTGCTCCCGCCGCACCCCTCCTTCCCCCAGGATCACCCTGCCAGAGCTTTCTCAGTCTTGCCCGGGACTCACCCTTCCCCCTCAAGCCTGCTTCCTCTCCCCCCTTGCTGGCTGGCTCACTCATCTGGGGTCTCTTCCTGGGGATACCCTCTTCCCTCTCCCCCTCACCTGACCCCCAACCTCTTCCCATTCCCTTTCCCCTTCCCCTTCCAATACTGTTCTGCCCCCTCCCTCCAGGTTTCTTCTCTCACCCTCTTCCAGGACTCTTCTGGCAAAAAAAAAACCCCTCTGAGACACTTTGACTGTCCGTGAGCCCTGGCACCACCTGCACTTTCTAGCACATCTGCTGCCAAGGTCCAGCAGGGGAGTCCCGGGACCGGGACCGGGAGCAGCATGGACCCTCCTTCCACCTCCCTCCGGGCCCACCAAGCCCAGCACTCCCCAACTGAGAAAGAATTGCAAGAAAGATATTGGATCCAACACCAGGCAATTTGGGGGCCTGCTCCTCCCACCCCCCTTACCCCCCCCCCCCAAATCGGCCACTCCGGTCCTGAGCAGCTCCGCTTTTGAGCTGGGGCAAGTAGTGACTTGCCTGACTCCTTGTGTGCCAGCAGGTTCCTGGGTCCAACCCTGGCGTTGGAGCCGCTGGGTAGCCCCCTGAACGTTCCTTCCCCACTCAGGAGCCCCTATATGCCAGCAGGAGCCTGGGAGCCTGTCTGCACTCCGGGGCGGGAGGTGCCCACCCAGAAAGGCTCTGCACCGAGCCCTTGCCGCTCGGCCTGTCTCTTGGGGATGCCCGGGCAGCGAGAGAGGGGACAAGGCTTCTGGAGGGGCTGACCCAGCAGCGTCCAAGGCTGGCTCAGTGTTCCCCTCCGTGCAATGGGGCGAGCCGCCGTCCAGTCCTGGGAGAAGCGGGCTGCAGCGCCCCGAGCAGCATGCAGCAGAGCCGGCCTCGCCCGCCCGCCCGCCCGCCCGCGGGGAGCCCCCGTCCCGGGCGCGAAGGGGAGCGCAGGAGCCCGCGGGGAGAGGGCACCCGCGGGACCGCGCCCGCGCCCGCTTACCGTGGGAGGGCAGCGCCCGGCGGCGCCCCGCGCGGTCATACGGGCAGCTGGGTCCCGGCCCGGCGAGTCGGCCGCCCTCGCTCGCTGCAGAGTGCGCGCCCCGGCCGAGGGCCGCGCCGAGTCCCCGGAGCGCGGCGCGAGCGGCGGCGCCGGCGGAGCCAGGCAGACTTTCACTTTCCCCGAGCCGGGCTCCGCTGGCCGGCGCCTCGGCGCGGCCTTTTAAGCTCGTGGGGCATGTGGTTTATGGGAAATCACCCTGGACGCGCGCCAGACACACACACACGCGCGCGCACACCCGCGCGCGCGCAGGCCCCGGCCCCGCGCCCCTCCCCCGCGGCGCGGCGGGTGCCCCCCGCCGCGCCCCGCCGAGCCCCGGGCGCCCCCGGGTGTCTGGGGAGGCTAGGGCCGGCCGCGCCGCGCGCCGCTGGCGGGGACAAAGCCTGGCCTTTCCGCTCGGGCTCTCCGGGCAGATCCGGTGCTCGCTCGCTCCTTCGGGGACTCGTCTCCGGGGCTTTCCCTCCAGGCCAGAAAATTCCCAAACCCGAGCAGGAAATGGGCTGAGGGCGCGGGCAAACCCCGCGGCCCGGGCCTTCTCCGCTGCACCTTATCAGCCGCTCCGCAGGCGGCCCCTAAGCTGCTGCCCCAGCCTCGCGTCTCCCCTGCCCGGGACGGACGGGGTCAACGGCGGCACTACCTGGCCAAGAGGGGAGGCGCTGTGTCCTGTGACCGGGAGCGGGGAGGCGCCGCTGCGTGCCAGCAGACACTCCAGGCTCTTGACCTGCGGGTGATGTGAGCGCTCTCCCGGCCTGGACCCGAGACGGGCATCTGAGCCCCACATAGCCCTACGTGCTTTCGGGATTGCATTTGCCCAGGCGATGCATCACAGTCCGTCTTGAAATGAGAATCAAATGGAAGGAGGCCCAAAAGAGAAACCTATGCATTATAATGCCAACTTCAGAAGTCTTTCCTTTCCTCCGTGCGCGGTGTTTCAACTCCTCCGTGGCCCCTGTGCCCCAGGGAATGATGTCATATGGGTCCTCTCTTGTCACTTGTCACTAGCTCCAGCCCCAAACATCCTTGCCCAGACCAGCCCTTCTCCTTCAGTGGCTCTTCCCCACACCTGACTTTCCAGCAAACTCCATTCAAGTCAGAGCCAACATCACCCAGCACCCTCCCCACCAGCAAAATTTCTGTGATTCCATCAGTGACTCCTTTCCCTGTGTTCCTGCACCGGAGCGCTGACACCTGCCTACTCTCACAGTGCTTGGTCCTCACTGTTGGCTTCATATACCTCTCAAAAAAAAAAAATGTCTGTGATGCTGCTGCTTAGCGCTCTTCTGCTCCAGCCAGAGCAAGCTTCTTCCTGGTTGGCCCTGAGAACCCTCCCTGCAAGTCAAGGGTATCTGGCAGTGGGTAGGTTAATGGGCAGCATTGAGTCACCTAAGGTCAGCAGACAACAGTCAGTTCATTAGATGAGCAGTGGAGTCTGCTCTGTGCCATGCCCGGTGCTGGCCTGGCCAGGCTTGGCTGATGAGTGCCTCTGAGAACCCTGCCTTCGGGGAAACTCTCTTCAGAGCTTGGCGTAGCCTTTGAGAGCCTGGAGGAAGGAAGGCGAGAGGGAGCAGAGGAAGGAGAGGTGGGGCGTGCTCACTTCCCCAGGCTGACTTTGTTAAGTAGAACAATAAAGACTTCTCTTACAGCACAAGTTTTAAAGATCTGATAAGAGGCTGGAGGAAGTCCTGTGTGGGGATAAACCTCTTGCTTTTGTTGAGTCAAAGGTGTCTCTTCCCTCCTTCACCAACCAAACCTGTGGAGCCGCTGAAGGTGCTACACTAGAGCCTGGCGCTGCCTCTGGTAGTGCCCAGGCGGCCGGGCATCAGCACAAGGCTTGGGTCCTTGTCCCGGATCAGCTGAGATCCCCTCTGAGGCCAGGTCTGAACCCTGACTCTGCTTTCTCCACTGTGAGTGGGCAGTGAGGCGGCACCCGGCCTTTTCAAAGGCTGGTTCAGTATTTGTGTCTGGAGATGCTAATATCCTGTCTCCTTCCAACCTGTTTGACGTGGACCTGGACAGTGTCTGGGAAGTGCTGCACAGCCTGAGGGCAGTCAGTGCTGCTTTTATATTATTGGTCATCTACTCTCGTGTGCTGGAGCGATAGCACAGCCGGTAGGGTGTTTGCCTTGCACACGGTCGACCCGGGTTCAATTCCTCTGTCCCTCTCCAGAGAGCCTGGCAAGCTCCCCAGAGTATCCTGCCCGCATGGCAGAGCCTGGCAAGCTCCCCATGGCGTATTTGATATGCTAAAAACAGTAACAACAAGTCTCACAGTGGAGACGTTACTGGTACCCACTCAAGCAAATCGATGAACAACGGGAGGACAGTGCAGTGCTACCCTTGTGTATCTGAGGCAGGGACAGGATAACGGTACAGTGCACTTGAGAGTCCCTGGGCCAGTGTGTCCCCACTTTGCCTTTCTTTTGCTGTGTCCCCTTAGACAAAACTCTTAATCATTCTGAGCCCCTCTCCCCCTTTGAGCAACAGCCACAAAAAGCCCTTTCCTCAAGAAGTGGTGATGGGGTCAGCTGGGTGGCAGGCAGGACAGAGGACAGCAAACTGCACAGATTCAGCGCTCAGGAATGGAGGAGTTTGCCCTCTCTCTATGTGGCAGGGTAGCTCTGCCTCCACAGGGCTGCCTTTGTGGGGTACAGGCTAACGGAACTTGCAGCTGAGTCATCGCCTATTTTCTCAGGAGAGGATGGGGCCTGGGCATGTGACTCAGAGCACTTGCCTTATCTGCCTCGGGCTCTGAGTTTGAGAAATGTCAGGTAAGAACCCCCAGAACCCCCCCCAAAAGCAACACGACTCAGTGTGTAAGCACAAGTGTGTGTGTGACCCCTGAAGTATTGCGATAAAAGATGACAAAGGGAAGAGAAGATGGGAAGGAGAGAGCATCAGAAAAACTTCCCTAAGAAAGGGGCAAACAGAGGCTGGAAGAGCTTGCGGAGTGCCCCCCCCCCCCCCCCGTGTGACTGCTGTGCTCATTTCTGCTCTGGGGGAACCCTCCTGGCCCCCAGTCCATCCTGGCTGGGAGATGCTGGGTAGACAGGTCCTGGGTGGGGCTCAGGGCCAGAGCTGCAGGTTGGCCTCCCTCAGTACATCCTCAACCTGTGTGAGCCATCCTTTGTGAGTGCTGGGACCTCAGAGCTTTCCTACCCCATGCCGCCCCATTAGCATTTTAGGAGCAGGTGGGGAAAACGCGGCCTCTGGCCCACACAGGAATTTGGCTCTGTGCAGGCTGGGAGCTTCAAGAGTGAGGACTGGGGTGGGCCAAGTCCAGGGACCACGTGTTCTCCCCCCCTGCAGATCCACGGCCTCGCTCCCTGCTGACGGCTGCTGGAGTCATGTCCGGGGCCGGTCCTGGGGGAGGCTTAGAGGAATTCAGAGCAGTGCAAGTTTGGGGGTTTTGCTGATTTCCTGTAGCGTCGTGGAGAAGACAGTGCTCAGTTGACCCTGGAGAAGGGCAGGAGTGGGTAGCAGAGCCACCCTGTTTGCCAGAAGAAGGAGCCTGGGGTGAAAGGAAAGAGATTGAAAAGAGGAATGGAGATGGATGGCAGGAAGTGGGAGGAAAGCTTCAGTTGCCTTTTGTCGAAATGCCATTTCCTGGAAATTATTTGACGGGCAATTTTCCCTTGAGATCTTTTCTGGGGAGTTGACATCTATTACAAAATTCTCTCTGTCTCTGTCTCTCTCCCCCTCTCTCTCCCCCCCCCCTTTTTCTCTGTCTCCCCTCCCTCCTCTTCTGTCTGCTTTTCTTCTTCCTTCACCTCTTCTTTCCTTGTCTATTAATCCCCCCCCCCCACACACACACACACACACCACCACCACCACCACCACCAGTCATTTTCTTTCTTCCACCAAATCAGCTTCCAGTTGCTCTGGGCAGTGACTGAGGGATGATGGCAGTTGCTGTGGGTGCTGCAGTGAAATTTAGCTTTCTTCCCCGGTGCTCTCGGTGAGGTGCTCAGAGAGGACCAGAGTGTGCTCAGATCCCTGCTTAGCCAGGACTTAGGGCTACCGTCCTGCTCTGTCTTGGTCTCAGCACTACCAGCCTCCTCAAGGCCCTGTCCTCTTCCTGTTTAAGGTTGAAGGGGTGATGAGGCTAATAGCCACACTGGAGCAAAGTGTAGCCTGGGCTTCTCATAATCAAAATGGGAATGGTAGCTCCCAGTCCGCCGCTGCTGAAGCCCTCATGTGGTAAATGACCAAGAGCCAGGATTTGCTCCATTGGAGAAACACCCACTTCCCCAGCTGGAGGGGATTCAGCTGTCGCATCTCGTGGCTGCTGCAGAAACAATGGCATCAGCCTGAGGAACTGATGCTGGGTGGGAGGCACCCCTGGGCCGTGGGCTTCTCACATCCGGGGCCCTCTCCTGGCCGAGTCGGGTTTCCTTTAAGTTCCCTCATGAACCCCTCAGCTCTGATCTCTCTAAGCTAGAATTGAAGAAGTAATTCATCCACCGTTGGCTTCCCAAGTGCCCTCTCCACCTGCTAGACTCATAATCCTCGATCAAGAACCTTTCCAGAAGGAGAGTTTGTTCTAACCCCCATCAGAAAGAGTCAATAAGGATGGCTGGCCTGGGTGTATGTGCCTGGCTGCAGGCCTGACCCACTTCCTCCGTTTACTCCTGGGTGACTTCAGAGCAAATGAGGCAGAGAATTACCTGGAAACAGGAAATGAGGAATAGCGGTGCTCAACTTATGAGACATGAAACAGTTTTGATTGTGTACTGGTGGCTAGTTCCTGGGCCACTCCCCATCTGTCAATCACAAACCCTCCCAGCCCAATCACTGGGCTGCCGAGAGCGCTGTGAAGGACAGTTTTGCAGCAGGCAATAGGATATGCATGGGTGTGCATCCCTCATGCCAAGGTCCCAGAGTGGCCTGGAAGTCACTGGAAGAACCAGAAAGTGGGGTTTGGAAGAGTTAAGGCCCCAGAAGTAGCTGGGGCACAGAGCAGCTGAAGGCTGTTCCTTGTCCCGGTCTTCTGTGTTGGTTTGTCCAGTACCCACTGAGTGGTCCAGCCAGTGTGCAGGTGTGAGAGGGAGCAGGTTGCTCTTCAGAATTGCTGGAGGTGTGGGAGGAGGCATGAGGGAGTCTCCCTGAGGATTCATCTCTGAAGCCCCTGGCTTTCTGGTCAGCTGGCCAATCTCCCTTCCACTGACAGTGGTCAGTACTTCTCCCAGGAGCAGGAAGCATCATGCAGCCCTTGAGGGCGGAACATTCGTTTTGTGTCTCTTGGCTGCAATCCTG